CCGCGGGAGTGAGGGGACTCTAGGAGAGGCCTCTGGGGAGGAGCCGGGAGGAGGTTCAAAGGGACACTGGTGCAGTTTGGCCGCTAAGGCCTGTGACTGAGGCCCTCATTTGTTTGTGTCTTTGTGGACCAGGAGGGGTGCTGGGGGCACAGGGTGACCCGGGGCTGCTCCGGGGGGGGAGCATGGGGCAGTGGCTGAGGGATAGAGGGGAGGGGCTGCTGGGGCTCACCGGGGTGTCGGGGAGCAGGGCGAGACGGGGAGGGGGGAAGTTGGGGTGGGGAGGCCGGGCTGGGCCGCTGCCCCCAGCAGCTCAGGGTCCAAGATGTAAATCTGGTCCTGCGCGATCTCGGTCACGTAGTTGAGGTGCTCCTGCAGGTGTGAAGGTCGGGGCCAAGGCACAGCCAGCCTTCCGGGTCCCCGGTGGAGTCCAGGGCTCTGCTCTGAGCAGGGCCCCGCTCCTTCCCACTGCCTGGGCCACTTCTCACTGCCAAGCCCTTGGCCAGGTGCCCCGGCTCGTGCTACCAGCCCTGCCACGCCCACCATGGGGGCAGCAGCCCTGTGGAGCTCACCTGTGCGCGGTCGATCCTGTAGAAGCGGCTGGCGGTGGTGGCTGTGGGGAGATGGACGGCCGGGGATGAGGGAGGAAGTCCTGTCAGGGCCCAGGGCAAGGGGGCCAGCGGGGCGCACTCACCATCCAGGAAACACCACTTGGGCGACAGTTTGTGGCACGTCATCGGGGACTTGGCTCCGGCACAATCGGGCTCCTGGTGAGGGAGGAGGTCGGGTGCGGCAGAGCTGACTGGGGGGGGTTGGGAGCAGGCACTGCACACTCTGCCGCCTTGCCCTTACCTGCTGCAGCCTCTCGATGTGGACACGGCAGAGCTCGAGGTCACTGTCTCCGGGGACCACCACGGTGCCCAGTGGCACGGCTAGGGGACAGCAGCCTGTGAGCGTGAGGCGAGCCCAACGCCATCCACAGGGCCCCTTGGCCCCTGCCCCGCCGCAGCGCCGCACTCACAGGCCTCCTTCAGCTGCTGTTTGTCGTAGTGCAGGGCCTCGTAGTCGTGCATGCTGACCTTGCTCACCTGGATCCGCAGCTGCTCGGGCACAGGCTGCTGGCTGTGGGGTGAGGCAGGTGGAGACTCGCCAAGCCCATCCTCCCAAAGCCCAGCACAGCTCTAGCCCCAGCCCCAGCCCCGGCCCTGCGTACTCGTTGTGCAGGGGTGCGGCGCTGCGCCGCTTGGCCTTCTGCACCATGGTGGCCTGGTTGCGCAGCGCGATACGGATGCG